GAGAGGTTTTATCTGTAACACGTAATCATTTGTATGCGATCGACTCTGCACGAGGTGTACGAAGTTTAACAGAGCAAGGTGGACGGCGTTTAATGGAGCTCATCTGGGAGAAAATTCCTGATGAGTTTGACGAAGTTTTCAATGTAACGCAAAATGACAACTTTCGCTTTTTCGTCTACGGGAAGATCGGTGGACAAAACACAATAAAGTTTATTGACAATGGTCCCCCCTTACTGATGCAGAACGCGTCGCGGTTGGACGAATGTCTCGATATTGTCCATATACCTTTTACCAAGACTATTTATTTAGTGTGGCGCGGTTATATTGAGGTAAGGAAAATTGAAATGGTGGAAACTTTCGTCGATTCTCCTCATAATGTTCGTTTTCTCCCTAGGCGGACGCAGATCGAAAAAGTGCTGCACCCATTTAGTGATTCGCGCGGTCTCGTAGTCTATGTTAGAAATACGTGGTCAAACAAAGAGTCAATTATTAGCTACAATTTTTGGACGTCTCGTTGGAAAATACTGGTTAATCTCGACGTGGCACAGCGTGATTATGTTGAGAACATAAGTATTGACCTGGAGGAAGAATATGAACGACCAAATAATGGACAGAATGTAATAGGGTAATTTACCGCTTATCAGGACCAGTTCATCGTGTATAGAATAGAGATTCTGTACTCCAGATCTTCATTCTGTGATCGCAGCGATTACACTGTTATTTAATTACTTTTTCTTTTTTATTTTGCACAATTGTTCGTTTGCAATTTTGCAGTAATTTCTATTACTGCAGCCCATCCGCGTTTTTTCAGATACAAATAATTGGACTTGCGGTGCGTTATAAATCGAAAAATATCTCCTTTAAGCTAAGGTAAAAAGAAGGCCTTATGTTGAAATGTGTCTACCCGCCGATAACTTTGATCTTTTGGAAAATCGTTATAGTTTTTGAAATTAAGAGCTATGCATCGCTGGAAGTGAATTCATCAGCTCCATGTGCCCTTTATCGCATGGATTATTTAGACTTACCTGGCCGCGTTGCCTAAAATGTCTTACCACAAGTGTATGCTGTATATGAGTATAAGGACTATTTCTGCTTATCATACTCGCAGAGTTCTATATACAGGTTTATATATGTATCACATACGGATGCGCCAGTTGTTTGTCCATAATCGTGTGGGCAATAAATGTATCTCTTCACCTTGCTTTTTTTAAGTAAACCGTTTTTACCTTTATTATAGTTTCTTCTGAGTGAAACTTTTAAAGATGTCGATGTATCTCGATACAGGAAAAGCACAAATGGGAAATTATGTGTAACATAAGCAGTAAGGTGAAAGAGAAAAAAACTCTTTCTGTATAATAAACAACTGCAAACAATGACACAAAGCTTGAGTCTATTAATCTAGTAAGTGAAATTACGCGTGTATAAGACATTCTAAATCATAAATATAAAATAACAATATACTTGAAATAATAATTGAAAATGTAACAAACTGTATTTGTTGAGATCAGTCATAGAGTATTTTTTTTGTAACATGAAGTAGTATCGTTACAATATGGCTATCATGAACGATGAGGTATGTTCACTTAAAATCAACCATAATAAATGTATGCTTATAATCTCAAAGAAGATCCGTCTCTCCTTTGTGTGACTACTATAAGGACTGTACCAATCAATTAATTTCATCTGCGTAATTGAAACGCTATCTACCAGAACATCAAAACGTTTCCTACACAAAGCTTAAGCAGAGCGGAAAGCTGTGAAACGGAACCGTCCGGAAGACATCGATGAATGTGTAATGTAACTACAAATTACCGATTTAAAAAAACACTATGCATTATATCTAAGCATTTATAAAGCACTGCTCTAAATGAACAAAGCCACCATAAACCAATAAATAATCAAAAGTTTATTGTATACATTTAAGAATAAACTGAAATGTAAAGCACAAAAGCAATTCAGGCATAAAAAATAGCTGTCTCACAATTCTTTACACACACGTTGTGTGGTATGTGTCATTTGCGAAACTTAAAGCAGTGACCCCCTGCTACTTTAATTCAGGGGTTGGCTATTCAAGTCATTGCGTGTTTTAAGTGTAGGTACTGCATTTCTGTGACCATATTACTGTTTTAAAACAAAACATTTATTCCAGCATTAAATTATTATTAAATGTCTATGCTTTATATATTGCTAGTTATTATGGATACAGCCTTTTGTTCGAACGAAATTTGAAATCTCGAACGAGTTTTTTAATCCTATTCACCTGCAAAGCCTCAGCTAACAAGGGGCGAAGGCATATGGGTGTGGCAGTGAAACCAATGGGGAGAGAAAGAGTGGAAGAAAACCTACCTCATTGGGATGGCAGCCTGACATCTGAGCAGGTGGCTGGGCTTAACTTAGTCTGTATAGTGGACTGATTAGCATGCTGTTGATTCTCATCTTCAAGAAAATCTAACTTTAAGGTGTTCTTACTAGTCAACCTAGTCATCATGAAGCTACGGCAAATCTGGGTCGTACTGTGGTCCATTTTATTTCTTCTGTTACGTGTGCAAAAAATTGAGATTATGATACCGTTAGTTATTGGGACTATTCATGTTCCGAACATTGGTCAATCGGTTCCATGTTATTATTTTTGTAGGCATGACTTTCTTTACACAATTTCTCGAACTTTTTGGCTACGGGTATGGATGCTTCGACTCTGTAAAGAAAGCCACCAGTAGACCTCTCTACGCTAAAATTCTACCGATTGTCATTCTCGATGGTTTAAGTAGCCCAAAGTAAGCTCAAAAGAACAAGAACTTGCCAAAAGACAAACTCCGATATGGAAATTTCCGATGCAGACGCAGATGTTCGTACATTGGACTAGTACGACCCATCTTGTTATCTAGAAACACATATAGAAATTGTTTGGGGGTGAGAATTGGCGGCCAAGCTCGAGTGAACATCGGCTGACTGTAGGACTTTCCAAATGTGAATCCAGATGTTGGTCGCCAGCTCCATAACGACGTTGTGTCATCCCAACGTCGAAAATGAACTCTGTTCATTAACTTTATTCAGCAGAGACCAGGTCCGACATCGTCATTGTCAATATCTTTGAACACAAGACCCGAACTGAACCGTGAATTCTAGAAAAACCTTTCGATGAGTATGATTAGCTATCGTGCTCCAAAACTCATTCATCAAGGCTCATTGGAACTGATGCAAAATGTGTCTGCTAAACCTGTGTCCTTAATGCAATATTTTAATCCAGTCCGGGGCATGTTACTAAACAGACACCAGCAAATTATAAAAGGAACAGGATTCATTCGTACCCCAGATTAATTGGATAAATATGCAGTCAGATTGCCATCAACAAAATTATTTCAGTCTTTCTGGCAGCCCAAACACGGAATATGGAAGAGATCGTTTGGTCAGACCAACCACCCACCCCGACTCCACTACTAACTCTATGAATTCTGGAAAAATATCCGTGACATGATACCGAATTGGAAATCAATCGCAGAAGCTCTTTAATGATAACACACCACAGAGCTAATGACGACGTGCATTGACAGGCGAAAATATCCTACAAAATTTAGATTTTGCTGAGTTACTAACAAATGTGGTCAAATACATATTGCATAATGTTTAAAACTGTCTTGTTTGTTACGGGGACATGCTGGAAATGTTTTTATTTTTATCCGAAGGTTCACAAACGTCGATTTTAGCTCTGGATCTAATTTATTTCTCGTACTCACTATTTCTTTGTGACAACGATTGATTACATGTATTTTATGAAAAACCACATTAAGTTTTCTTGTGGTTAATTAGAGATGGTGAAGAGGACAGCTCAAATGAGAGTCGTTAAATAGTGAAAAATTTTCTCCGATAGGCTTAATTAATCACAGGTGGCCTTGCATTAACCTTTTGCATCAAGATAAATCACTCTAATCCAAATGTTTTGGAGAACACAGCCTCTCCGCCTAAAGGTAGAAATAACTATGCACCTATTGAACTTAGGGGAATCTCTTCAACTTTCGTTAAAGGAAAACCTTTCGTTTCCCTATTTATTTAACATGTTAATTGTGCCGGGTCCAATATGCTTGTTGATATGATGTTCAGCTTCCCGCGTCATGATTCTGGAACTAGTTATTGTATATAGCTAATAACAAGTATGTCTTTTATCAATATACTAATACAACTCTGTGTCTCTTTGTTTATTTGTCCAACCCACATCGATTTCATTCTTTAATTTTTGCCAGATCGGTAAACCTATTCTAGTGCGTAATGTTGATTAGCAATTTCTTATTTTTTTACGATTTTTGTATTTTTAGGTTTTTTTTTGCGAACATTTTTTACACATATCCATAACAAAATTATTGGCATTTAAGTACGCGATATTATGGTGGGGTTTTTTCCGAAAAATGTTCCCTACTGACAAAACAAGCTCCGAATGCTTACATGGAAATCTATGTAGGGTAGCGGGGAGGAGGTCGTTTTTGATACCAACGGAAAGCTATCACCGAGATAAATTAAAATGCAATAAATTTTGGGGTACCCAGATATCAGTTTTTAGATCAAAAACGCTTTTCGCAGGACGAAAATCTCACATGAAGTTTTACTTAAGCACGATTTCCTTGATACCAGTCGACAGATTTCGACGAATTTGATAAAATTGCAGTACACGTCTTTGTACCTAAAATTGATGTTTTGGCGCGCAAGTGGTCAAAAAACCATTGAGAGGTTTGTCTCCCCCGTTTCAAAGAAAGAAAGTTGTAGGAGGTGGTACGACGAATATCTCAGTCAACATTTTTTTCGAAAATATTCTTTAAAAAATTTACTACGAGAAATACAAAAATATCAAAAACATTTTCCTTTACGCAAAGTATTACCTTGTTCACGCTAATTCTTCATACC